GCTGACTGCAGGGCAGTGGGTCTCAGTGGAGTTGTGCCTCCAATGCCAATAGCTCCAGGAATGCCCCACAGACGCCCCAGCGATGCTGACCACTGAGTCCAGCCGGGATCTCAGGTTATCATCTTAGCATCCCCGCAAGGGGTTCCCCCCACCCCGAACCAAGGCAGACAGCTTTGCAAAACCCAGGCAGCCGATCTCCAGCCCCGTGCTCTGGGCAGAGACCTGAGACCTTGGCACGACGCCGGATGGGACCTGGTGCCCGGGCTCCCGCTGCCCGACATATGCTGGCTCTGCCTTGCTTATTCTCCGAGGAGGGATTCCCGATGCTGGTGTCCTGCCGCGTGCCTGGGCTTGGTCCCAGCCAACGGCGGGCACAGCAGGGGCCGCTTTCGAGCATCCGCGGGGCCCTGGCTGCCTGTCAGCGGCTCCTGCACTTCCGAGGTTTGCTGGAGCGCTGGCTGGAGCTGCAGCGTGCTGGGAACGCCGGGCTGGGCTTCGGTAGGGGCTGCTCCCTGCCCGCGGCGCCCGCTGCCACCGCGGCTGCACAGGACGGTGCAGGCAGAGGGGAGCGACAGCACAGCCATGGGGACAACGCTCTGAGCCTCGTCATCTGCCTCCAGCAGAACAGACAGCTAACATTCCCTTTCTTCCTTGAATTTCTTGGTTTCTCACTCCCGTCAGCTGTCTGGGATTTTAATTTCAAAGGAAAGACCGTGCGTTTTCTTTGCTCTCTGATTTGCTCCAGCTCTGTACTCGTTAGTGCTTCTCAATTTTAACATGGACCTTTGGGACCAGCAAGTGCTCGAGGTGGTGGTGCTGGAAGAACTGGGGCAAGTGCCCATGATGGGGCCAGTAACCACATCTTTAACCTGCTGCATTTTGCCGTGCAGGAGGGTGGAGGGTTGCTGGGATGAGGCCACTTTAGTGCCCCACAGAAAAGGGACCTTTCTGCCCCAGGAAGTACCACCTGCAAATCCTGAGCCCAGCATATTCTGCAGAGAGAGCTGGGAAGGTACATGGGGCTGGAGTGGGCTCTGGGACAGGGGTCCCTGTGCCTGGGTGATGTTCACAGGGCAGCACCGGTATCTGGAGGGCCTGGTATTGGGACCCCAGGGACTGGGGCATGGAAATCCCTAGCTCCTCCTGATAAACCTTCTGGTAGTACGTGAAACTGCCACCTATGTGGTTTCATCGATGTTCATGCCATGGGTGTGGAGGTTTAATCAAAGTTTGAACATGGTTCTGCTGCTGGGTCAGGTCCCATCTCCTGCCTCGTGCTCCCCTGGTACTTACAGGAGTTTGCATCTTGACCAAGTTGATCGGGTTTCTTTTGGGACCATTACCCTCTGCTCACATCCTGCAGGTCTGGAGAGCAAATAAAGACCACTGAATTCCAGCTAATGGCATTCAAAGCTCCCAGCTTTCCCAACGGGCCTCCTCAAAAAGCAGCTCCAAAGGCCATGTGGTTGCTCCAGCCTGAACAGCTTCTGGGGAAGGCGCAAAGCTGCCCACAGGGCTTGAGCTCAGGCAATTCCAATTGTAATTAGCAATGTCAGGGATGTCTGAGAGGAAGCTGTCAAGGGAATACTCAGATTCCCATCTTCCTTCATCTTCTACCCAAGATCAGACACCTTTCTAGGAGGAACAGAGTCATCACCCAATTAATTGAGCTGAATGCACAGGTAATGGGGGGAACCTCTATTCAGTGCTAGGCAAAAGAAGAAAGAGCAGAAGGCTGTGGAGAGCTCTACCACAGCAGACCCTCTGGTCTGATCCTGAAGTCTCCAGGACGTGGATGCCATTCATGTGCCATGTCCACTGGTGGAGCTGGCTGATCACCATTCGAGATTGGAGGCAAGAGACTAGCTCCTGGCAGCTCTGATCTGTGCACAGCAGCAGCCACCTGTGTCATTTTCTCTGTGTTTTTTTAGGAACTCAAGAGCCAGCTGAGGTGAAGAGCAACAAGCAGAAGAGCCCTGAGCAAAAGCCACCATGAATGGGAAGATTTGCACTGACACTCATCCAGAAATTAAAGTTCTGGTGCTATTTCATAGTGAAATACTGTACTCACAGGCATCCCCCTGTTTTTCTTGAGTTCTTTAACCTAGCTAGAATGGGAAGCTATGGAGATGGTGGACCACTGCCCAGTGAGCTGGAGAGGATGGCTCTGCATCCATTAATATGGAGAGCAATGAGAAATTCAGGGATAGAGCAGGAACCCCCACTACCTCCTCTGCCCAAGCTGCTGACTGCTGGAACAGCATCTCTTCTGCCAGGCAAAGCGGTCTGCCATAAAGAGCTAGCCCGATGCAAGATCTCACTACCCAATGACTCGCTCACCAAAGTGTCCAAGCACACAAATGTGCTGCCAAAATCCAGGGAGCCCAAGGGACCTACAGCACGACCTGGGGTCCTTGCAAAACCAGGCAGGTGGGTTTTGTCTGACCTCTGCTCCCTTGTGGAGACTGTGTGCAGGCAAAGCATCTTCCCCAGCCTCCACCATGCGAAACCCCCCTCCAGCAGCATGACCTCTCCATCAAAACATTCCTTCAGAGGGATTTTTGCCCAGGCCTGAAGCACCAATGGATGCGTCAACTCCAGGAGCAAGAAAATGGCCTTCATGTTCAGCACACCTCTGGGAAGATGAGCTCTGCAGGCACCTCCCAGCTCTTAGCCCTGCGGACATCCTCAGGGCAGCAGATCAAACCCTCCTTCACCCCATCCGTGTGATGGCAGGTGCCAGTGCACAGCTAACATCATGAGCTGGGTTTTTCCCCACCTACAGCCTAATTGCATGTTCCACCTGAGCAACCTCCCAGGGCCTTGGTGAGAGGGAAGGAGAAGTGGGGTGAGAAATCCTCTGTCAGCTTCAACCCACTGAGGCTTTCTGGGGGATCAAAACAAGAGGCTCCGGAGTGATGGAGAGCCCCACAAGAGCTCCTTGGCACCCTGGGCTGCATCCTGCCTGGTCCCAGGGGCTGAATATGTCCCGTGTGAGGAAGTGGTCCCCATTTAATCCCTAAATCGTCCTTTGCTACAGGTAAAGCTTCAGTCCTGCAGACTCTCTTGCTCTCCTGTGGCAGTGTAGAGCAGTGCAGAGCAGTGCTTTCTGAATGGCTTTGATTGCATGCCCTTTATCAGTGAATAGCTTCTGAGCATGCACCCCTGATATATGTATATTTATTCATAAAATCTATACATACACATTATAAAACATACACAGTAATAGACATTTTAAGAAGATTAAATAAACACTTCTAATATAATTTTATTTGACTCTATTTATTAATGGTACCAAAAATACTTTCTTCCTGAACCCTAGCATTCTTTTGCTAGGGCACATGCACCCTGCTTTGGAGACCACTGCAGGTGAGTCTCACAAAAGGGATAGATGTTGCTGGTGATGCTACATGGTGTTGTCTCTCCCATTGGTGTCATGAGTTGCTGAAGGCTAAGCACGGAGCACACTCAGGATTCTGGTGCCTGACCCTTTCCTGCCACAGGGATTCTCCATCCTCTTCCCCTGCCTGTCACCTCCAGAGGTGCATAACAGATACTGAAGTAGCTACAACTGGCAAGAGCAGTCATGAAGTCAGAGGTTTCCCTGTCAGTGGGGAGAGCAGAGGGGTGCAGATAGCTCCTGCTCACCCTGTCCTGGGGCCCTTCCCCCTGGGAAGGGATGTGAAATTCCTGTTGTATTTCCAAAGGAGCTGCTGATTTTGTAGATGCCCTAAAAACCGGGTTCCCCAACTGGTCCTGTCTTGTTCGTGTGCTCTGGGAGGACAAGTTTTAGCCTCCCCTTAGTGGGATAAGGCGTCAGGTTCCTACTGGGAAATCCTTGGCTCTATCAGGGATGGGGCTATTTCTGATCACAGAAATCCATAATTTCTGCTAGGTGGGTGTCTTACGGAGTCTTACTTGTAAAGAAATCCCAACCCAGCATTCGGCCAGGTCTGTTTGCTGTGCCTCGAGGTGTATCCTTGCATGCACTGAGCAGTGGTTACAGCATCTTTTCACCCCATCCATTCACCCCATCCATTTGTGTCATTCCTCCCCCCCCCTTTTTTTTTACAGCCACCAAGTAACACTTCCCTGGCTCCATGTGCTGCTGGGGGCCCCTGAACCCTCTTGAAGGCACATCATGAACCAGATTAATCTCCTTCTCCACTCAAGCTCCTGCCTTATCACCACCATTTTGCACATGGAAGTAGCTCTCCTGGCTTAACTTTGACTCCTGAAACAACAAAGATCAATCCCCTGACAGTGGTTTTCTTACTTATACATAATTTATCGCATTAAGGGAGAGACATCCGGCTCTGCAGTGTCTGCAGGTCCAGCCTAGACGAGATTATTCACCACTTAACAGGAGATACAAGCAGCCAGCATTACTGCTGTGCTCTGCACAGTGATCCACCTTGGAAAGGGCTCGACTGAGGCATAAAAGCTCTTTCCAGAAAGCCTGCCAAAGCCCTGGTGTAGGTAAATGATTAAAAAAATAAGGTTTACCAAGGGCACCATCCCATACAGGGCAGTGTGTGGGCAGCCAGCACAGCTCCTCTATGGGGCAATGACTATTCCTTAGGAAACAAGTTCTCAGAATCAGTTCCTGGGAGAACTCCATGTCCAAGCAATTAGCAATGTTATAACATCCCCTTATGGTCTGTTCAGGTCTCCAGAGGACGTTGTGCCCCATCTTCCTGCAGCCGGTCCAAGAGTGTGAAGACTTCTGCTGCGCTCCATGCTGGAAGAGCAGTACCTGGGCCCTGGGATGGGGTGGCACACAGCTCGCTCCCAGTGGGCTTTCTGAAGCTGGCACTATGAGCTCAGCCCGGCTGTGCAAACACACACACCGGGAGGCAATGCTGTGAATTGGGCACCCAGCTGCTGTGTCCCATTGGACAATAATGGGTCTGAGCATTGGATATGTGGGTGAGAGAGGGCGAGGAGCTGTCAGTTTTGCTCCCCCCCCAGCACCACCAGACCCCTTCAAGTGTGTTGGGTCACTGAGAGCTGCATCCCTGCCTCAGGGAGCGTGGAGGTCGCTCAGTGGCAATGCCTGAACCCTTGGTGGACATCTGTAACCTCCCCCTGCACAGGGCTTTCCTGATGGCACCCTTGACCTTGCTGTTTCGCAAGCTGTAGATGATGGGGTTGAGCATGGGGGTCACGGCGGCGTACAGCAGGGCCAGGACCTTGTCCATCTCCTTGGAGGCGCTGGAGTGAGGCACCAGGTACGCCACAGCCCCAGTGCCGAAGAACAGAGACGCCACGGTCAGGTGGGAGGTGCAGGTAGCAAAGGCCTTCTGCATCGCCACTCCCTTCTGGAGGACAGCCCCGATGATGTGAGCGTATGACACAAGAGTGAGGAGGAAGGAGCCCATCGCTATAGTCCCGGCCAGAGCATACAAGGTGGCCTTGTTGAGGGGGGCATTGGGGCTGCAGGATGCCTGCAGCAGGAAGGGCATCTCGCAGAACAAGTGGTCGATGACGTTGGAGCCGCAGAAGGGCAGGCGGGCTGTGAGGAAGGCCTGGATCAGAGATGAAAGGGAGCCACTCAGCCACGAAACGGCCACTAAGCAGTGGCACATCCTCCTGCTCATGAGCATGGGGTAGTGGAAGGGGTGGCAAATGGACAGGTACCGGTCATAGGCCATGGCAGCCAGAAGCACACACTCCGAGCCCCCGAAGCAAAGGAAGAAGTAGATCTGTGTGATGCAGCCCACAAAGGAGATGGTCTTCAGCGGTGAGAAGGAGTCTCCAAGGATCTTAGGGAGGGTAACGGAGGAGCAGCAGATGTCCAGGAAGGAGAGGTGGCCCAGGAAGAAATACATGGGGCATTGCAGGTGGGTGTCCAACCAGACAAGGGTCACAATAAGCAGGTTCCCCAGCACTGTCACCAGGTAAACGAGCGAGAAGAACAGACAGAGGATCACCTCTGCTCCGTAGGCACTGGAGAATCCCAACAGAAGGAACATGGTGGGGCTGCTGAGATTTCCCTGCTGCAGAGCCTCGGGGCTCATCTGCAGGGAGAGCAGGAGGTAAGGACAGGTAGAACAAGGGTGAGTGCTCTCCCCTGTCAGGGGGCATCCCCAGCCCTGGGATCTGCTCTGTGGTGGGCTGAAGCTGTGCCCATGCCCTGCACCCCTCACACCTTGCCAAGGGCTCGGGGGTGTACGGTGGTGGGGGCTGCTGTCAGCCCATGGGGTTCAATCCTCCAGGCAACCCCAACCCCCTGTCACTCAAAGGACACCCGAATGAGCTGGAACGTCACCCCCATGCTCGAAAAGGATCCCAGGGGCTCTCAAACGAGAGCAGCTCCTCTCACCCCTCCAGCTTCCCTGGGCTGCAGTGGGACACTGCTCTGAAGATCCCACAAAACGTGACAGGTTGGACTTGCCTGAAAAGAAGCTGTTGTTCATGGGAGCACACTGTGTTTACATCATTAGTAAAGGTACAGCAAGATCTCCTGCTTTCCCTTATCCATCACAGGCTGTGAGAGCAGGGCTCAAAAAAGAGATCTTTAAATGATACAAAGAAAGTGACTGTTTGGAAATACTGCACTGGAGATGTGACCCCCCTGCAGCCCTGATCCAGCTCTGGGGCAGCAGCACAAGGGGGGATGTGGAGCTGTTGGAGCGAGTCCAGAGGAGGCCATGGAGATGCTGCGAGGGCTGGAGCAGCTCTGCTCTGGAGCCAGGCTGAGAGAGCTGGGCTGGGTCAGCCTGGAGAAGGCTCCTGAAGGGGAGACCTGAGAGCAGCTCCAGTGCCTGAAGGGGCTGCAGGAAAGCTGGAGAGGGGCTTGGGACAAGGGCCTGTAAGGACAGGCCAAGGGGAATGGCTTTAACCTGCCCGAGGGGAGACTGAGATGAGCTCTTAGGCAGAAGCTCTTCCCTGGGAGGGTGCTGAGGCGCTGGCACAGGGTGCCCAGAGAAGCTGTGGCTGCCCCATCCCCGGCAGTGTTCAAGGCCAGGTTGGACACAGGGGCTTGGAGCAAGCTGCTCTAGTGGAAGGTGTCCCTGTCCGTGGCAGGGGTTGGAGCTGGAGGAGCTTTAAGGTCCCTCTAACCCAAGCTATTCCATGACTAATATGATTCTAATCCTCATGTTCACACCTAGAGCACAATGCAAGACCTCTGAGAGTCTGAGACATCATAGGAGGACCAGAAAGGCAACTGAAGGTGACCATGTTGTTCACAGGCTTGAGGGTGGCAAGGAAAAGCAGAGACACTGGCCTGTGGGTAGAAGGGAAGACTCTGAATCTAATGAGAAACTGGAGCTTGGGTATAAATGGAGATGAGACACAGAAGATTCTGAGTGTAAACCTAAACCTACTGAATCCACAGAAAGGGCACTGAGGAGATGATCAGATTTGTGCACGCTGCAAGAAGCTGTTGGAGCTGCCTGCCGGTCTTTCCAGAGGGAAGCGTGGGAGCATCTTCACCAGGAGAAGAGGTGGGTGCCAAGCTGAGGGGACTTGAGCACCCTCAAGTGACATTGCCAGCTACCTCCAAGAGGAACAAGGACAACCCCACCGTGCTGGGGATGTGCTCCGCGGCACGGAGATGCCGGGGTGGGCGCTGCCTTTGTCCTGGTGCCCAGCAGCTGGGGTGAGGTGTGAGCAGGGAGGGAGTGAGCAGCAGGTAGCCAAGGCTGGGTGCCACAGCGGGGGCTGGGACCCATGCTCGAGATGCTGGGAGCCTCCATGGACGCTCTCCTCTTAATGCAGGGAGGCAGCGGGATGGGAGAAGCCTTCAGGGATCTGATGCCAGGCTTTGAACCACAAAGAGAAGATGTCAAGGAGAGGCATGTCCTGTCCCTGCTGGTTTGGGTTGTACTGGAAGAGCAGGAGCTGGTAAACAAGGGCATAACCACAGAGGGAAGGGAAAGACTGGTAGGGATAAGAGCAGCTGGGGAGTGGGTAGCAGAAGGTTGGTGTCTCCTCTGGCTCAGGAAGAGCAGATGGTCCATAGCAAACAAACGATTGTGGCCTCTGCAAAGCTATGGGGGAACTCCATAGGCACCAGAGGTATGGGGGAACTCAAATTACTATGTGCCCCCCCCCATGGCAGCAGATGTTCCCAGAAGTCAGAGAAATAGCTCTGAGCAGAGTAATGGAAGTGACAGGAGGAGAAAGTGCAGGAAGTGAGGAAGGGTAGGACAGCATGAGACACTGAAAGGCACCATCAAAATGTCTTCAGGGATCTAAATTGCCTTGGGAAGGAGTGAAGGGAAGGTCTGGGAGCCTGTCACACATTCCCAGCCAGACTGAGGGGATGGCAAAGCTCCAGGGGAGAAATTAGTCCAGGAAAAGTAACTCTTTGGAGGGGTGATGGTAAATAAATCACAGCCTCATCTGTAATGGTCATTCCAGATCTCCCTGGATATGACACCTCACGTGGCTCCCCACCAGGTCGCTGCAGAAAGTGATGAGGTTTTCTTGTACCTGTTCCTGAAAAAGAGGCTGTTTTTAGAAGAGCTGAGAAAATAACTTCAGCTCGAGTAGGGATGAGTCAATGCCATTCTGCAGAAATGGCAAGATCAATAGGAACAGATTGGTGGCTGTGGCTGTGAACAAGCACAAATCAGGACATGGGAAGAAGGCTGGTTACTGCAGCTGGGCAGACTGGGGATGTTGAGCCTGCAAATGTAGGAAAGAGCTGGCATTTCATGAAAGAAAAGGTGCAAAACCCAGCTAAGAACTCCCTTTTGAGCACAAGGCAGAGGCTGCTGGAGAGGGGCTGCTCCCTCGGCAAACAGGGAGCACACAGACACCAAGGAGAATGTTTGGCAAGAGTGGAAAGCCTGCAAGGAAAGGAGAGAGCCTGAGAAATGGTAAGGGAAGCCTGCACTGAAGATAGAGGAGTGCAGGGAGTCTGTGGGGATCGCTTACAGCGTGACACATACACCTTCAGCCATGCAGATGAAGGTCAGGCAGCCCACAGCGCTCAGCGCCCTGGGAGCCTGGTGTCCCCAGGAGGACAATGACAGTTTATGGCAAAGGGAGGCTGTCTGGTGGCAACAGGAGGGCAGAGGGCCAGCAGCGTTAAGGAGGGAGGAGAGTCTCCAGAGCTCTGCTGCGTGTCAGAAGGGCGGCAGGACGGGAGCACTCCCGCACCTGAATCCATGAAGGATGAACAGTGCTTGCCCTGCAGTCTTTGTGATGGGGCTCTATTCATTGGGAGAAGAGGGGCCCAGCACCAGGCATTTGAGAGGCTTATGGGGAAAGAAGCAGCAAGAAAACTGGGTGTGTGCAGGAGCTCTGGGACTGTGGAGCAGTCTGCCTGCCCACAGCATCCTTAGCTGGAGATCCCGTGGTCTGGTCAGCCCAGGGCAGTGCTGAGCTGTGTGGCACAGGATGCCAAACTGCCCATGGCGGCAGCAGGAAAGTTTCCACCCATGTGGGAAAATCCTGATGCTGTGGAGTGAGTGTTCATGAGACCCTGCCCGGTGGTGCTCAGGGAGCAGGGAGCCCACTCAAGGAGGAGGAAGAGGAGCCAGGCTGGCTGGAGAAGTGAGAGTCCATTGCAGAGGACATGGTCAGCCTGGAGAAGCAAAGCCAAGCAGGGAGATGGCTGTGGCATCAAGGAGCAGAGCCCTTAACTCAAGCATGATGCAGTGGGTAGCACTGGCAGAGGTGAGCCTGCAAAAGCCAGGAGCTTAAACCCAACTACAAACATTACTTTGATCCAGGAATCTTCTTAGATCTAATACACCAGGGTTTAGACAAGGAGCTGAGGTCTCACATCATACCTTATCAAAGAGATTTGGGGTCCAAAGTGCTCACATCAAGGGGCTAAGGTAGGAGGGGCTTTGGTTCCTAAATCTTTCTTTTCCCTTTACCTAAAATAAACCTGTTTTAAGTATAAGTAGGTGTTCACAGAGCCTTTGCATTGGTTTAATGAAGCAGAGGTGGAAAACAACATGCCTAGTTCACCTGGAAGACATCACAAAGGCTCCTGGGGTGGGCACCCACTCCCATCTCTCCCCTATGTCCCATGACCTGTCCAGAACTGGGTGCAAACCAAGACTCCAGTGTTCCCAGGGCACTGTCACAGTCTGGGCTACCAGGGAACCAGCTGGGTTTCTGTGCCACCAGTGGCCTCACTGGGAGTTCGAGGGTGCAGGAGGGACGAGGCACAGAGACCGCATCCTCCCCAGCAGTGGCCTCTAGCCCCCGAGCCAGGGAAGGAGGAGATGTCAGCGGTGTGCGACTGGGGCGCAAGTGGCTTCATTTCATTTCTGATCACTGCAGGGGTTTGCGATTCCATCTGTTGATGTGATATCATTAGCTGGGTGGTCAGCCAGTCACTGGAAGTGTCTGTTTGCCTTTCCCACAAACCATTTGATTTGCGATCACATCTCATCTGAGACAAGCGAGTTGGAGGCAGGTGGGTGCAGGCTGTGCAAAGCTCAGGCCAGCACCACGGTCCCTGTGTTTGTGCAGCTGTATCCTGGAGGACTGGGAGCACGGCAGGACACCGGCTGTGGCACAGGCGGACAGGGACACTGCAGCCCCGGGTCTGCAGCAGGGGCAGGGCTCCCGTGCTGCCGGGGCTGACCCGCGGTGCTGTGAGACATGAGCCGGGCACCCAGGGACTCCCCCGGCCGCTGGACCAGGAGGGGGACAACGAGGACACCCGCGTCTGCGGGTCACGGGAGCGGGGCACAGAGCAGGTCAGGGCAGAGCTGGCCTTGGCAGACCCGGCCATGGGGCTGGCTCCTTCCCCCCTCAGGCTCAGAGCTGTCCTGGCCTCAGCACTGAGCCGGTGCTGATGCTGGGACACCAGTACCACAGCTTACCTTGAGCAGATGCTTCCTCTCCTCACACGAGGTGTGTCTGGCAGCACCGGTGCTCTGGGACACCAGGGTGATTTCAGTGTGCTCCTGGCAGCACCTGGGAACAGCTCCCCTGCTACAGCACCGTCTGTAATTGCCCCTTGGGCACAGCTCTTTGGGACGCTGTGGGAGCAGGGGAGCGCGCTGCAAGGGAATACACTGGGTCCTGTGTCCCCCCAGGGACACTCCCCCGGGGGGTACTCCAGCAGCATCCCCGTAAAGAAGCTCCCAAAACCCACAGGGGCCAGGACTGATGGAC